CCAAAAAGTCGCGCGCACAGACGGACAGCAGACCTAGGGTCAACTCCCCTCCTACCATTGATGGTGCACCGCATCAGGTCTCCAAGACGCGCCCCGTCCGCTCCTGAGCGGAGCGACTTTGACTTTACGCTTGCCTCGACGTACCTTATAGCTTTGTTTTCCTGCTACGTGTATGCTTTGTCATGCCCACATCTCCGAGTTGCAGCACACCGCCGTGGCTCAGCTTGGCTGGAATTTCCCTTTCGCCCAGCAGTAGAGGCGTAGCATCAGGCAATGGCCGCCGGCGCACCTCCAATTTCATTCACCTATCACTCGCTGTCCTAACTCTCGATCTCACCAGCAGAGCCCTTTGACCGAAATGTCATAGCTGTACAAGATTCCATATAAGATTGAGTGAATATCGTACAATGCAGACAGTCGAAACAAACGCAAAGTGGAGTGAAGAGAGCGAGATTGCGAAGAGGTTCGCGGGGATTTCAGAGACGGTCTGGAGCTAGATCACGAGCGACCTGAGGTCTTCGTCAATATCCGGCAGAGCAGAATTAGCAGGCGCATCGATCCGCGTCGCGCTGCCGCTCCGATCAGCAATACTAGCTCTATCCTTCTGATCTATCAAGGCCTTGAGCGTTCTAGCTGATACTTCCGCCTGTCTGAGGGTGCTCTCCACGTCGATAGACTGAGAGAGACCCTGAAAGTAGAGCAGTATCTCGTCAAAGTTGTACAGATAGGTGAGCAGCGGATCTCGATGCTGTTGCAGGATGGCCAGGACGACGAAAAGGTGCAGATCGTTGGAAAGACTTGGCGATGCAGGCTGTTCGTCGATGGTGTCCTTGTCACTAGGCGATGCATCGTCCAGCTCCGCCGCCCAAAGGGCTTCCCACAACTTCAGAATGTCGCCAAAGTCGAATTCGCGCTAGGCAGGAGGCCGAGCCCAGGTGTTAGTGGAGCAAGCCTCAGATTCGGATGGGTTCAGCTTCATTCACCTTGAACAAGACCAACAGCCATCTGAAACAGAAGAAGAGATGTAGAGAGTCGGTGCGCTCCAGATGGGCGTACACGGCTGGATCCATGACCTGGATAAGCTTTTGCAATAGTCCTAGCTGCCTTCTCATTCCGCTCTGGTCAGAATAGAAATTAGAACGCTGTCGTCGCACCATCGGTAAGG